GATACTGACTGAAATAGTACAATTAGTGTAAATTACGAAAGCCCTGGTTTTGCTTGGCACAATTCAAATTTTATTTGGGAAGATTCTATTTGATTCTATATTTCTGATAAAATTCTATTTTGATTCTATACGATCATTTGGCATTAAATGGCATATAGACAAATAAAATAGCATATTGATCTATATTTCTGATGTTTTAGTGGTAACTGAAAGTATATAAGTAGTGCCTCTATATGGAGAACAATAATTTATGTTTTAAACACGATATTGATTGGCCTTAAACACCATGAGAGAATATAATCCAAACTTCAAGAACATCTACAACAAAAATAGAAAGTAGGCTTTTGGCTTAAGCAATACTAACATCAAGAACAAATAAAAACATATGATTTATTGTTTTAGGCTTTGTATACTAGAAAAAAACAAAATTAAATTAAACGATAAAAATATTGGGTTAATTTGTATGGGAAAATTCCATATAAATACTCCAACTAAATTATGATAAACTTTTTAATACTCCAATTTTTTAATGTCCAAATAAATACTCCAACTATTTTCTTTGACCAGTTTAATTCTCCAACACTTGTCCGTCTACTCAGTTTACGAACTCGGGCTAACGGAACAGTAACTTCCGTTATTTTTTATTTTTTATTAATATAATTTTTTAAAAATCAAAACAATTTTTAAAATCGAAAAACTCCACAAAATTTGATTTTTTTTCTTTAAATCAATAATAATTAATTTTTGTTAACAAATAAACTATAGTTTCAGTTTTGAATTTCAAAACTAAATTAAATTTCAAAAACGTCTAAAAAAATAAATTAAAAGTTTCAAAAAAACTTCATATGGTTACCAAAATTTCAAAAATTATATATCTCATACAAATTAATGTTGTTAGAAATATTTTTTAAAAAAATGTTGGTTCACCAATAGTTTAAAGGAGAAATATATCTTAAATAATTTAGTATAAAATAAATGAATGAAAATATCATATTTATTTGGTTTAAAATATCACACTATTTTATATTAGAAAATTTCTGGTTTTTTTATTCAAATTTATTTGGTTTTCAAAAATAAAAATTTGAAATATAATTTAATTTTTGCCTTCAAATTCATATTATTTTTTTGTAAATTTAAGACTTTTTTTAGCAATTTTACAATTTTTACCAATTTAATTTGGCTTTTAAAATTCAAAACTGAAACTATAATTTATTTGTGAACAAAGTTTAATTATTATTGTTTTGATGAAACAATCAATTTTTTAGGAATTCTTTGAAATTTTTTGCTATTTTTAAAAATTGTTTTGA